GATTCATGGGTTGGGAAGATCCCCTGGAAAAGTGAATGCCTACCCACTTTAAGTATTCTGGCCTGGAGATTTGCATTGAATGTATAGTCCATGGGGTCACAAAGAGTCAGACAGGACTGAGCGACTTTCACTTACTTTCACTAAGGAATTATCTTCATATTCTCTGAACAGTTAATACACACAAAAATGGGAAGATGCATAGACTAATTTTTTTTTCTGCTGTGTAGGTGTTTTTAATGATAAAAGTTACAGAATTATACTATAGAAAATATGAGAAAGGGGAAAAAAACAAAAGTAATAGCACTGCCCATTGCAGTCACCGATTTGGTGTGACCAGATTGCTCTACTTGATATAAAATTTAATGTATGTGTTTCTTTAGCATAACTTTCTTAGGATGCTTGTAATGTGTTTCTTGGTTTGTTCAGTAATAATGTAGCAAAAGCATTTTTTTCCTAGGTTGTTGTAATATAGCCCTATCATTAAAGGATAATATAGCATAAGCATTTATTCTGAGTTGTTCAATTAATCATAATTTTGCTGACTGCCTAGTAGTCCAGCTGGTTACTTGAACAGTTTATTTACATTTTAATCCATTTTGTGTATTGCTGTTGTAAATCATTTGATGAATATCTCTTCAAATGACTCTTTCCATGTGTTTGCTAAGTTGCCTCAGCCGTGTCTGACTCTTTGCAACCCTGTGGACTATAGCCTCCCAGGCTCCTCTGTCCATGGGATTCTCCAGGCAAGAATACTGGAGTGGGTTGCCATTTCCTCCTCCAGGGGATCTTCCCATCCCAGGGATCAGGTCTTCTGCGTTGGCAGGCAGGCTCTTTACCACTAGCGCCACCTGGGAAGCCTGACATTTTCCATAGTTGGATTTTTTTCAATGATGAGCATTTTTATGTACTCTGACCTTTCCCCAAATAAATCGTTGTTGTTGGCTGTGCTGGGTCTTTGTTGCGGTGTGCAGGCTGAGTTGTCCTCCAGCATGTGGGATCTGAGCTCCTCCACCAGGGATCAAACCCACATCCCCTGCATTGGAAGATGGATTCTTAATCACTGGACTATTCAGGAAGTCCCATTAATCCTAAATACTTTTTTTACCCATGCCTTTTTCTTTACTGGAACCACTGCCCTACTTTAGACATTTATTACCTCTCGTTATTATCAAATGGAATAACAAGTATATTCCATTTTTTTCCTTCTAACACGCTCCCTCCCAACTCTAATATTTCTCTTAATAGAGTGTTTTATCACTTTATTATACAAATTATAAGACAGATATTATACTTGTTGGTTTCATTTTGTATCTTCCCAAGTGAGATAATGAAGCTGGAAAGCTGAGCAATGGCCAGGATTATATCTAACTCTCTCCAGAGCTTAATGTAGTATCTGGCATACGTCCTTATTTGTTGGGTTAAATATTAGTCACATCTTAAAGACATGCCCTATATTGCCAATGTGACCTACACATATGGGAAACATGGTGTTTCCCTGGCTGATGTATCAAAGTGCTTATCTATCCATACTCTACCATCACCTTTAAAAAAAAATCAGTCATTTAAATATCTGTCTTGCATCTAATAATATCACCTGTTTTGAAGTTCATCTCTTCATCCTTGCTCTACTCCACCATCATCCCACACTCCACTACTTTTCTTTATGCTGCTCGTAGTCTTCCGTTTGCCTGGAACTACCCTTCCCTTGCCAACATTCTTCACTTGGCTAACTCCTATGCATTTTTTGACGTTTGGCCCAAATCTTGGTTCCTTTAGGAAACAAGTCTTCTCTGAAATTCTAGACTGGAGAAATTACCCTTTTCAGTTCTGGAAAATCTTTGAATGGCTTTTAGTGTAAGGTTTATATTGTTGTTTTGAAATTATCTGTTTCTCTCTTCTCTAGTGAACTACAAGCTCTTCCACAGTGAAAACTATTCCTTTGAATCTTCAGAGCTTAGTGTAGTACCTGGATCAGTAGACAGTAAGTAATTGATAAACATTTCTACAGGTTGCCATTAGGGAGTCCACATGGCACTGTAGGTATAAGGTCTTAGGGAAGTTTGTATGTAGGAAACCCTATAAACTATCATTTATACATGTCTGGGTATAAAATATGCTATGATGATTAAATAACAGGAAATATCTAATATGTAATTAAGTAAGTTTAGAAACAAGATATATATATATGTGAATTTTTATAGTGCATAACTTACTGATGAATCAGCAAGGGTTTGCATTCTGGAACAGAAGGAAATTAAATTTCTGGTGCCCATTCTTTATTTTTTTTAAACAATTTCCATTTATTTATTTTTGGCTGTGCTAGGTCTTTGTTGCTGCATTCAGGCTTTCTCCAGCTGCGTCGAGTGGGGCTGCTGTTTATTGCGGTGCTCGGGCTTCTGAACATGCAGCACGCAGGCTCAGTAGTTGCGGCACACGGGCTTAGTTGCTCTGTAGCACGTGGGGTCTTTCCAGACTAGGGATCGAATCCATGTACCCTGCACTGGCAAATGGATTCCTATATACTGTACCACCAGGGAAATCCCACACTACGGAAGGTTTTATTTCTTGATTTGGAGCCATATTCTGGATACCTTGTTCTTCATATATTGTTACCAGTATTCTGTTTCAATGTAGCTGAAAACACACACTTTGTGGTCTGAGATATTATTCTTTGAGTTAAATCTGTTGTGTAAAATGAAACATTGAGAAAACCCAGTGTGTGCTTAATATAGGTATAGTTGTAAAGTTTAGTCTTACTGTATTAATACTTAACGAATTAAAGAACACAATGTTCCCAAAGTCATTTCAGAAAGCAGATAAATAAGGAAGTGTATGGGAATTACCCTTTTGGAAATTATTGAGAAGGTTTTCATCTCATCTTATTTTAGTATTACCCAAGGTTTTTTCCTCAGAGAATAGGGTGTTTGACTTGCCATGTGGTGGTCTTGAAAGTTCATAACTTCAGCACACTTTTTCACTTTGAGGAAACTAAAAAAGTGAGTAACTGCCATGGCTGTTTCAGAAACTGATGCTCGAGGCAACCGCTGAGTTGGGCAAGACTGTCATTAAGCTGTGTCTTTGGTTTACTAGTTATTTTAATCATGGAAAGGAAAATCTTTAATTTATTTCATTGCCTAACCAGTACCACATTTTAAGATAAAACTGTTCTTTTTCTAAAACTGTTATTAAAAGAGGCAGGAAACAGATTCTGGTCTGATGTTGATACTCTGTTGATGTTTTATCCCTTCTTTTTGTTAATTGAAATTAAAAATTGTTCACTTTATCTAACCCCATTCTCAGTTTTCTTAGTTTGAGAAAATTTGAAGTCATTGTGGGGGTCCAGGAGGATATGAATTTTTGACTGTCCATTTTGTAAGAATTGAAAGAGGATTAGAGATTTAGTTTTAGTAGTTCTGATAGCTAAGTATATTATTCTTATGTTTCAATAAAATGGAGAAAGGTTTGCTTCTTTTGAGTTGGTTGGGGCAAGGGAAAACTTTGAGGATTGATAAGTTGCTTCTCAAATTTGAATGGAGTTGGTTTTAGCTTGAAAAATAGATCAAAGAAGATGATTTGCTTATATGCATCACAATTTTTTCTTGTTTCTAAAGACCTATAATAGTTGCATCTATAGTTTTATAAATTTCTCTTCTGGAGGTAATTTTTGGTAGGTAACCATTGGCAATACTAACTAGCATCCTAATCTGCTGAGCTATGAGGGCTTATTTTAAAGGATAAATTCTCCATCCCCACTAGGGGGAGTTTCCACTTGGCCGCACATAATTTTTAAGCAGAATGAAAATATTGGTGTATCTTGTTCTATGATTTCTGTGTTTTTTCCACAAAGTATTTTCCTAATAGTAATAGATGCAGTCTATTGAATGTTTGCTGTGTGACATCACAGTGTTTCCTATGTTGTGCTCAGCACCTTCCATATTTGTTTTTCACAGTAACTTTATGAGATTGATAGTATTTCATCCCAGTTTTACTGATGGGGAAATTGATAACTAGAGAAGTTATTTGATCATTACCAAAAAAGCTAATCGTAGTGCAGGGACTCATATCTGTGGTCTGTCTTACTTCTAAACTGGTTTTTAACCTGTGCTCCAGTACTTCCCAGTTTTCATTCTGCCAGTATCATGGAAGTCTCAGAATATTCAAATTAAATTTATTTTAATATGATAAGCTGGTGCTAAGAAGGGGTAGAGTGAGAAGCAAAGCCCAGGGAGGACTGCTCATTAGGTACTGCGGCTCAGAATTATGTTGATTAGCTGAGAAGAGTTGAAATGAGGTACAGAAGTCAAGAGCCTAGGTTTCTAGATGTTTATTTATTTAGTTTCTACCCCATTTATTTAGTTTCCTTCTTTATAAAATAGATAAAGCAGGCCAATTCAACACTTTCCTACTATTAGAATCTTAAGTATGGATATAGAGTCTTTAACTTATTTACAAAACTTTCATGGGTGAATGCTTATTGATGGTAGATTTGAAAGCTGGAGAAGAATGTTAGCTTTTCCTTTAAACCGTTGCTTTTGTCTATTGGTATAGAGCAGTGTTTGAAAATGTCAAATGTGACCCATTAGTAACTCATAAAATCAACATACTGGGTCATGACTAGCACTAAGGGGAAAAAAAATAGAGTCTAGAAAATTTCAGAATACACTGCTTAGCATAAGGATAGACACTTTGTGAAACTGTTGTTTCAGTTATATAGATATATGTACTAGATTACATTGTCATATATATTTTTACTGTGTGTTGCAAGTTTGAGAAGCTTGAAAAACACTGTCCTGGAACTTTGTAGAATTTATCTATTTTAATTTTACCAGGAGAGAAATTATAGTGAATTTAAGACAAATTTATCTTTAAAAGGAAACGACATCAAGTAACAGAATGTATGTATGGTGTTTTTTTTGTAGCATTCTGAAAAGCATCTAATCCCAACCCAAAACCTTCCTGGCATGTATACAGCTAGCTACACAAAATTAACTTTGAAGACTTCCCTGGTAGTCGAGTGGTTAAGACTCTGTATTTCTGCTGCAGAAGCTCGGGTTTGATCCCTGGCCAGGGAACTAAGATCCCACATGCTGCTCCACATGGCCAAAAAGAAAAAGAATTACCTTTGACCTCGCTCTTTTCGTTTTCTCTGTGTGTCAAAATTTATAATGTGCATGTACTGTTTACTGCTGAATATTCAGAACAATTTTTTGCTCATTTCAGGAAGTTTCCCCTTTCTGGTTTTGAATAGTTTCTAGTTTAGAGTCCTGTAGAGTCTTATTTTTAGTCACTTCCATTTTGTTGGTTCCATAATACTTTAGCTCTGGGAATGAGTAAGAGATTTGTTGTAACCTCTTTCTATAGCAGTATGTAACTTTATCTCATTATTTTTAATGCATATATAGTAGTCCATACAAGTTTATTGTAATTTACTTAACCAGTTCAGCAGTGGTGTACATTTTTATTTTTTCCAGTTTTTTGTTATAAGGCTACAGAAAACTTTACTGTCACGTATGTTTGTGTTCTCATGAATGTATCCATAGGACATTGTGATTGAAAGTGAAATCTCTTTGAAGATATGCACTTAAATTTTTAATGATATTGCCAAATTGGCCTTCAAAAAAATCATACAGGGAGCTCCCTGGCAGTCTAGTGCTTAGGACTCTGCGCTTTCACTGCCAAGAGTGCAAGTGCAGTCCTTGGTTGGGAAACTAAGATCCCTCAAGCTGCACAGCTCAGGTGCACCCCCCCCCCAAAAAAAAAAAAAGGTTGCACTAATTAATCACCACCTGTCACTGAGCCATCTGGGAAGCCCTATATCTTTGCCGGTGCTGTGCATTGTTAGAGTTTTAACTTTTGTAAGCCGGTAGGTTAGAACAATCATAAAAGTCAAATAGAATTGTGTTTTAAAATTTGAGAATAAGCATGTTTTCATATACTTATTGTTTCTTTGTCTCTGCAGTGCTGATTTTTGAGATTTCAAGTATAGGCAATATCAGTGAAGGTGACTTCAAAGTTTTGAAGAAATGGTGCTGTAAAAGTCACGTGTCACTGAGATACCTGCGACTATGATGACCTTCCCACCTTGACCCTTGTACTCTCTTAATTTCAGGTGATCATGGAGCTCAACTTGGCCTCCATGGGGCTGGTGGTGATGGAATACATGATGACCCAACAGGTGGAGAGGAAGGAGAGAACAGCCCAGATCCCCAACCCCAAGCTGGTCGGAGGACCCGGCGGGAAGCATGCACCTGCCCCTACTGTAAAGATAGTGAAGGAAGGTAAGTTGATTCAGCCGGTCTCTTTAAGAGTGTAAAGATGAAGAATTAATAGATTAGGAGGTAAAAATAAGTGGGTTTGTTTTCTTTTAACTTTAAGACTTGGCAGGGTTACACAGGGATCAGAGATAGTATAGTACATTTGGTTAGGTCATATGTGGTCTTGGTTCCAACTCTGTGCCTCTTCATCAACTCTTAGACCTTGGACCTTCAGAGATGCCTGCTTTCTGTTAGAGACAAGGAAGTCAGATGGAGCCAAATGGTCAAATGATTGTTACTTTATGTCTGTTTTGAGATTTTTTTTTTTACTCTTTAAAAAAATTCTATTGGTGAGATGGCTTTAACAAGATAGCTTATAAAACAGCTTGGCAAAGAAACAGAAACATACCTACGGTAATGATTATTTTACAGTGACTGTGTGAAAATCATGAGTTTCTTTTTTTTCCCCCTCAAAATATATAAACTACTTATTCTGGGTAGAAAATTTTTCAATCAAATAATCTAATATCTCCTACAAAACAGAATTCTGATTGATTTTCACATTAGTGTACTGGCTATACAATATTATCTCTGAAGAGCTCCAGGTTATTTCCTTTTTCTTCAAGTCACTGACTTTGAAAGAGAATAGAAAGTCATATAGGTTTTTAATTGCCTTTGAAAAAAGTCTGTTAAAGTTTTGCCCCATTAAAAATAATCACAGGGGATTTCACTGTTGATCCAGTGGTTAAGAATCTGCCCTGCAATGCTGGGGACTCAGCTTGATTCCTGGTCAGGTAACTGAGGTCCCATGTGCTGCAGAGCAACTACGCTTACACACTACAACTAGAGAGTCCATGGGTCACAGTGAAAGATCCTACATGCTGCAGCTAAGACCTGACACGGCTGAATAAATAAATACTAAAAAAAAATAGTCATAATAAGCACAGAGTTTCCCTGGTGGCTCAGTGGTAAAGGATCTGCCTGCCAATGCAGGAGACATAGGTTCAGTCCCTGATCTGGGCTGATTCCACATGCTGCAGAGCAACTCAGCTCGGGTGCCACACTGTTGAGCCTGTGCCCTTGAGCCCCATGCCCTGCAACAAGAAAAACCACTGCAGCTAGGGAGCAGGCCCCGCCCATTGCGGCTAGAGGACCTCTGCACAGCAATGAAGAGCCAGCACAACCAAAAGTAAAGAAATTGAATTTTTTCTTTTAAAGAACTTAAGAAAAAAATAAGCACAAAAATAGGAAATGTAACAAAACAAAAAACAACTTGAATTCTTTGTAGGTTATCCTACATTATGGGAAAAACCTGAATCAAAAACAGTTGAGTACATGGACTTCCCAGGTGGTCCAGTGGTTGAGATTCCGTACTTACATTGTAGGGAGCATGGGTTCGATTCCTGATCGGGGAACCAAGATCCTACATGCTGCATAGCAGCCCCCCAAAATTAATTAAAAGGGGGAAAAAAAGCTCTTGAGTACAATGGAGTTTACCTCTCACAAAGCTTCAAGTGGATTTAAGTTTTTGAAAGAAATTCTGTGATTTCCACCTGAGTGTGATTTCATTTCTGTTATGTTTTTTTTTCCTGCTCCTCTGCTAATGTGTGCTGTTAAAACCCAAGGCAAATCTCTTTTGGAAATCTCCATACTGCCCACTAATGGATTACATATGGTACAAATTGGTTTGGCAAAAACATTTCAGAACTGATATCCTGAGAGGAGCTTAGGATTTGCTCCATATAGGGAATATGTTTTTTGTTTTTTTTTTTTTTAAACATACCTTGAATTAGTTATGGTCCTTATTTCACCTCTTTTAACTTTTTTCCATCCCATCTTCTTTCACTGATGTCTCTCATATTACTCTATCTTTTCAGCTTTTAATCTTTACCTTTTGGCTCTTGACTTTTATTTTGGAGAAGGAAAGCTTTGTAGTTCTAAAAGATTATGTTTTAAAGTTCTCCACCAAGTGCTTAATGGAGAGACCCTTTGTTCAGTAAATAAATTCCCAGTCAAAAATATCTCCACATCACCATATTCACAGTGGTTCCCATGGAAAATGTATGTATTGAGACTTAACGTCCAGAAAAATACAGGAAAATGCCTCATAGATTTCACAAGTCACCTTGAAAATAACATCACACATCAGAACTGACTGTAAAGATTTAGCTGTTGATACTAAAAGTGAAGGCTTTTGGGAATTCCCTGGTGGTCCAGTAGTTAAGGCTCTGCACTTCCACTGCAGGGGCACATGTTTGGTCCCTGATCCAGGGACTAAGAGCCCGCATGCCATAAACAAATTAAAAAAAATAAAATGGAAGACATTTGTGTGTGTGTGTTGAGAAGTCTTTTTTCTTTTTATAAACTGCACATATCTAAGTGCACATTTTGATGTTTGTTTATTTATAGCTCCACTAGGTCTGTGTTGCTCTGTGGGCTTTCTTTTGTTGTCATTAGGGGCTATGCTTTGTTGTGGTGCACCGGTTTCTCATTGCAGTGGCTTCTCGTTGCAGAGCACAGGCTCTAGGGCCCACAGGCTTTCAATACTTGCAACTCCTGGGTTCTAGAGCACAGACTCAGTAGTTGTGGCACATGGACTTAGTTGCTCTGTGGCATGTGGGATCTTCCTGGAGTGGGTATCGAACCTATGTCTCCTGAGTTGACAGGCAGATTCCTTTTTTTTTTTTTAATTAAAAACTTGGATTAGTTTTGAGTGGGTCCAGTAATTACTATGGATACTGTATGACTCTTTAATTTTGTCTCTAAAATGAACAAAGAACAATTGTGTTTTCACTTCCAGGGGATCTGGGGATCCTGGCAAGAAGAAACAGCACATTTGTCACATGCAAGGCTGTGGCAAAGTATATGGCAAGACCTCGCACCTACGGGCACACTTGCGCTGGCATACAGGCGAGAGGCCTTTCATGTGTACCTGGTCATTCTGTGGGAAACGCTTTACACGTTCAGATGAGTTACAGAGGCACAAACGCACACACACAGGTGAGCAGGAACTGGGGAAGGGAGAGGTAGTAATGGACCAGAATGAAAAGACAAAATATACCTCGGAAGTAACTAAAATTTCTGAGCAGCTTATGTTTGAAATTGAATGTATGGATGATAAATGGCATTGGAGTTAATCTGAAAACCCTTAAGAAATAAGGGTTCTGAAGATCCTGTATTACTTTTCTGCTATACTTCTTCCTTTCTGAGGACTCTCTAATCTTTACTTTTTTTGTTCCCCAAAAAGACAAAAGATAATCACCAGAATGTTCTTGTTTTTAATCACCTTTTAAGGTTAACCTTATTCTGCCTTACATAGTTAGAAGGGAATAAACTAAACAAGGTACCCCTACTTCCTAAGATGTGATTTTTCTCATCTTCTTACTCTTCCTTTACCTAGGTGAGAAGAAATTTGCCTGCCCTGAGTGTCCCAAGCGCTTCATGAGGAGTGACCACCTGTCAAAACATATCAAGACCCACCAGAATAAGAAGGGAGGCCCGGGTGTAGCCCTGAGTGTGGGCACTTTGCCCCTGGACAGTGGGGCAGGTTCAGAAGGCAGTGGTACTGCCACCCCTTCCGCCCTTATTACCACCAACATGGTAGCCATGGAGGCCATTTGTCCAGAGGGTATTGCCCGTCTTGCCAACAGTGGCATCAATGTCATGCAGGTGGCAGATCTGCAATCCATTAATATCAGTGGCAATGGCTTCTGAGATCAGGCACCTGGGGCCAGAGACATATGGGCCATACCCATCAACCCTGGGATGCAAGGTAGCATGGGTCCAAGAGACGTGTGGGAGAGTGAGCCATGAGGCATTAAAAATGCATGGTGGTGGGAAGAATTGGGGGTGGGATACAAAAGAACAGATGGGGTCCTGGCACCCACCTGTATTCATCAGTACCTTTTTGAAGTGGGAAACATAGTGAAAATTCTGTTGGTGCCACCTTTGATGAGCATTTGTTTGACCCCAAACAGTTTCTTAACACTTCTTACCCCAGCCTCCCCTTCCTGCATTTCCCTTCTCAGCTCCCCCATGATGGATCCCCCCCTTTCCTAAAGCCATCATGCCTTGATAAATATATATGATCATTGAAATACTTTTTAACAAAAACAGATTCTATATTATATATATATATATAAAAGATATATAGAGATGCATTTGCAGGGGTAGGCTGGGAGGAGGAAGGAGACCATTCTGTGACCAAAATACCTTGGTCATTTTTTTTATATTGCCTTATTTCCTTATGGCTGAGCCTTGTTGTGACACATCAAGATATGTTGTCTTGGCTTCCCACCAGATTAAGCATTTATATGCTCTGCTTTTAGTTTATATATACATACATAATGTTTTCCTTTCTTAATTTTGTCTTTTAATTTGGGATCAGCTTCTTGCACTCTTTCCCTGACTCAACCCTTTCTGTCTCCCCTTCTCTCACCTGATCACTTCATGTTTTGTTTTTGGTAGTGGTCCCTGGATGAGGCACTTCTGTCATTTTTTTATAAAGTCCTTAGTCCCAGCAGCAGAATGGAGAAGCCTTGAAGCTCAGGCAAATGCTTGAGGTAGCTGTGAAGAGAGTGTTCAAAATACTACTGACGCAGGCACCCTTTTGGTGCTGGAGAGTCAAAGGCACCTCTCTCTTCATTAGCTGCTCTAAGCATCAGGAATCAGAAGTCTTTCTATGGAATTGTACAAGAGACCCTTTGAAAGTTATAGTCTGGGATCAGTTTGTCCAAACTGTGAAAAGATGGTCAAATAATAGGTAGGAGCTTTCAATAGGAGAATGATGTGCTCAGAAGTGGAAGTGACTCAAGTAGTTCACTTCAGGAGTTAGTGGAGTATTTGGACCTTTGTGAAACTGTCTTCCAAGGTAGCTCTAAGCTTTGATGTGTAGGCTTCTGAGTTCACATTCTGAAAGGAAATACACTTCCTCTTTTGAACATCTCCAGTAGTTCTTTCCCATTATGTTATTAAGGAGCATCAGCCAGTGACTCTGTTCTGGATTTCCATTCTGCAGAACTCCAGAGCATGGATCAGTGGCAAGGCAATGGTTCTTTGATCTTTTCCCTTAACTCTTCCTAGGGTGATTCCTAAGGGGAAAGGAAGCACACGTGATCATGGGAATGATAGCCCAGAACAAAAAGAAATCTTGTCTTACCACTGTGGTTTATAGGAGAGACCAGGGGAAGCCATCCTGCTTTTCTCCATGGCTTGATTCCTGAAGAGACTGATCCAAAAATTATAGCGGCAGGGAACTCTTAGTGCATTTGGCACTGAGATTTAAATGCAACCAGAGTTGTCCTCAAGGCCCAGCCATTAAAACATTGTCTCTCTCGACTTTCTGGTATCTCGTCAGAGAGCTTTTCACTGTGAGGAAGTGTGGAAATGGCTGTGTGTATGTGTGTAATCTGTTAGATTGGGGATAGGTTTTCTGTTAGCCAATACTATAAGAGACCTGCAATAAAAAATTACCCTAATCTGATAGAAAGTGAAGTGTTTGTGTATGACCGTGTGTGAATGTGTGTTCGTGCTTGTATATATCTACACACAGATGAGAAATTATATTTGAAATTGTTGGAAAATAAATCAAATTCAGATCAAAATGCCTTTCAGGCCCATTACCTAGAAATCTCTTAAAACCTGGGTATGTTCCTGAGGTCATTGCTTTGCTTTTGCTAAACTAGTTACAATTATGAATGGGGGATATTCTACTGCACTTTTAAAAGAAGAAACTATTTTTGTGTTTGAAAGTGAAACCAACATCCAGTTCTATAGCAGAGTCCTAATTCCTCTCATAAATCTATTTACCTTGACTACAAATAGATGATACCGTGATTCTACTATGTATTTTATATAAAATCTATCCAAATTAGGGTTTGGGTAAGTTTGTGTTGTTGTTTAACCTGAAATACAATAACTGTTAATATTCTAAACAAAAGCTTACTCCACTTGGTCCTTTCTCTGCAGACTTAATACTGTTTTTAACACAGAAGCTATTGCAAGGAACTTTCCCTTTATCAAATTGCATTAATACTGAAGTAAAAGTTATCTGCCCAGCCACTTATCACACCCTTTGTTCCCACTGAAAGGCAGAACTCTGAACATGCTATTTTATATCTGCAATCATGTACATAGGCATCTTCTGGAGGAAAGGGGCAAGATAACTCACTGGAGTGTGCAGTGTTTTGCTAGAACATTTCATGGAATGGAATCTTCCCTAGGATGAAATTACTAGATGTAATCTAGCTTAATGATGCTGAAACTTACACACTTTTAGGTCATTTGATGATGGTTTTCTCTGGGATGGAATGCTGGTTTAACCCCCAGCTCTTAGCACAAGCAAATTTATATCCACTTCTTTCCACTTGCCTAGTTCCTTCTCACCAAGGAAGCTCAGGATTCAGTATCTTGTTTGGCCCTAAAATTAAAGCCGCTACTGCTTTTGTCTCCCAGCAGCAGTAAGTCACTCAGTCTTTTCCACAGGAAGTTAGCCCACATTCCGTGAGTCAGGAGCTTATTGCTGAAAGTCCCTTTCCCTGAACTTTTTGCCGGAAGAAATTAGTGTAACTGACAGGCATATTGATTCTCAGTTTTTTTTTTTTTTTTCACAAGTTGCTCTTTTTTGTAACTTTCTAATGACCAAACCTTGGGTCAGGGATGCCCAGAGAAGTGGTAATATTATTCCCTTGTCCTTTCAGGTTGCCCGTTCACATATATCTGCTTATCATTTGACTGTCTCACTTTTTACCCGGAGCAGTAACAACCCACATCGTCTTCCTTCAGGGACTTCCCAGCGGGCACCCTCTTTATGGGTGCCATGTAGAATGCAGTTTAACAGACATTTCTCAGAATTCAGAATAGAACTCTTGATCCCAGAAAGTATAGACTGAAGTGTTGGGTAAAGATTATGACTGGGGGAGGGTTAGAGACAAAGGCTGTAAATTACTATGGCTGATTGATTGATTTCTACTATATACATATATATATTTTTGCTTTTGTATATCCAATATAGGAAACTAAGCATTGTATTTTTTTTTTTTAACAAACCTGAGAAAGCACTATGAACTGCAGATGTTTGACTTTCAGAATATATTTTGTATTGTTAATATCTTCACATTGTGTGAATACTGGAAGCTGCAGATCTTTGCTAGGACGCAATAAATTTATACGCTTTTTGAGAGGTTCTTCTGGGGGTATTAATCAAGCCCCTGTTATGCTTTGGGGGAGCTCTGGTGCTAAAGTTTTCATTCAGTTGTAAGTACCCTGATGCCTTTTGGACCTTGGGATCAGATCAAAGGAGTTCTGATCCAGGTACCAAGGAAAATGAGGATAGTCTAGCTGCCTCAAGTGAGGGGCCCTTTGCATAGCTCTCCTTCCCCCTTTTCAAGTGCCCTCTTGGAGTTGGGAGGAGGAATGTGAAATCTCAGAGTCTCATCTCCCTTAGAAGAGAGCCAGTAACTTATTGTGCAAGGATGAAAGGTGGCAGCAGTAGCTTTGGGGAAAGGGAGGAGGATATGGCACTTCTCCAACCCCGGAAAACATTGCTTTTGAAAACTGCTGATAAACTATGGGTAGGTTATTACTTTTGTTTAGGAGCCTGTGTGCTCTGCGGTGCCTCTCTTGGCTCTACTCCTGGGGTACAGACCTCATCTAGGAGGATGAGGAGACCAGCTTTGAGGTTGACCTGTTTCTTTTCTTTGTCTGTCTTCCCTAAACACCAGCCCCCAGGAGGACATTAACCAGCCTTAAGCTTAAATTCCTACTCCCTCTTGCCAATTTAGCTCACTTGCCTTAGATTGAAATCTGGGAAAGGGGGGAAAAAAATGGGAGTCCCTGGTTTTATTCACCACCTAGGTCTTCTCCAGTTTGATTTCCCCAAACCCAGAAAGATTGCCTCCACAATGTTCATTTGAGGGAAATGAGCATTTTGTCCCATTATCTCCCTTCCTCATTATCGCAACCCCAGCCTGCCTTGTCCCTGCTGAGCAAGAAGAGGCATGATCTATCCCTCAGTTTCCTTTAATATCAATAAATAATTAATAAATAGGGCTAAAGTGAGGCTGCTGTGGGTGGTGAGGACCTTGTTGATACCTCTCCTGGGGTATGTGTGTTCTCTTCCTCACCTTCAGGAATTACTGTGCCTTCTCCACAGAGGAATGGGATTCTCTACCCAGCCCCCCACTTTCCTAGCAGCTGCTCTTGAACAGTGTGCACAAGGGCAAGTCTTCCTATTTCTGATCACCCCTTTCTCCCAGTAGCATCCCATAGCTCTCATTTGGAGTCTAAGGCACAAAGATTTTGGGGAAAGTTGGGGAAAATATGCTGAGATTGGTCTGAGGAGACTCCTTCTACACATACCAATGGCAGCTGCCCTAGGACCTGCTTCCTCTTCCAGAGTCTGTCCTCCTCTGGGAGGAAGGGGCAGTGCTCCGGTCTCTGGTGCCTAAAACAAGTTTATTTCTCTCTCTTAACACTGGCAATAACCAGTCTCCATACCACTGTTGCCTTTTTAAACTTCTTAATAATCAATCTCATGCTGTGTTTGTTGTTGGTTTCAATCCGATTATCACCTGGGCTGTGGGGAAATACTTTTAAATGCTCTCTCATCTTTCTTGCTCTTTTTCCCCTTGATCTTGTGTATGTATGATGCTAATCTCTTGTCTTGGTTTCTTCCTGCTCTTTTGTATCTTACTTTCTTGTCTCTCCCCTGCCTTTTGTCTCTGGGTGTTTTGGGGCTTTTCTTTTTTTTTTTTTTTTTGGTATAGTTTTGTACAAAGATTAGTTCAATGTAGACTGTAGCTCCTTTGTAAACCAATTAAAAAAAAAGTTTTTTTAATAAAAAGCCATGTCTCTGGTGTGTTGAGAGGGTTGGGATTGGGGAGAATATGGTTATAACTTCATATACTAAACCCAAAATTAAGTTTTCTAGCTACACTGTTAATACATGTTAATCAGTGCAGTTGTCCTACACTTGACTCCCAGGTAAACAATTCATGACCAGATCAGCGTGCTACATAGAAATGTAGCAGATCCAGAGCAGGGACAGTTCCAACTTTTCTTTCTAAATTAGCTCCTATTTTGAAATATTTTTAAATTCAAAGGAGACTTGCAGAGATAGTGCAGAGGGTTTCTATATTTCCCTTTCCCAATTTTCTCCATTGTTAACATTATCAGGGTATATTGTCAAAATTAAGAAACTGACATTAGTACATTACATTAGCTAAATCCTATGTGGGCTTTATCCATTGATGTCCTTTTTCTGTTCCAGGATCTGTTGCAGGATACCACATTGCATTTAGTTGGTATGTCTCCCTAGTCTCCTCTGTGACAGTTTTTTAGTCTTTTATTGGTTATTTTGACAGTCTTTGAGAGTACTGGCTATGTTCTGTAGAATATCCCCCAGTCTGAATTTGTGTGATTTTTTTCTCATCATTAGACTGAACTTACAGGTTTCGGCGGGGGGGGGGGGGGATACAACATAGGTGAAATGCCCCCATCACATCCTATCAAGGGGTGTGTGATAGCCATGTGACATTATGGATGATAAAATCTTTATCACCTGGTTAAGGTAGTGTTTGCCCGGTTTCTCCACATTGTCTTTCCCTATTCTTTGGGAGTGAGTCTAGCCTACCCTTAATAGGGTTGGTGGGAATTAAGCTTCTGTGAGGAAACTACCTCTTCTTTATTAATTTAAATTAACAAGTCCTCATGTATACTTATTTTATTATAAGTGGGTGGTTAGTCCAGTTATGCATTATTTTTGTTGTTCACATTGTCCCAGCTTTGAACATTGGAAGTGCTTTTGACTTCTGTGTCCCTTGATATGTCTACATCCTCTTTTTTTTTTTTTCTTGAGCACTTTTTGATACATAAGATGCTTCAGGCTCATACTGTATTTTCCCTGCCCCAGCCCTAGATTGGCCATTTCTCCAAGGAACCTTTGTTCTTTTTATTGGAGAATGGTAGTTAGAAGCCAAGATCTAGCTCCGACATATTTTACATTCAGTTAATACCAACCTGTGTCTAAAATGACTGAATCTGGATTATGGCCCCTTGAAACTGAAATTGAAGTTATGCTGACAGCCTTTCCCATTTCCCATCAGCTTGGGCTTTTACCTGCCTTCGTACCTATTTGAGAATCCTTGGTTGATGGTTTATACTGTAACTACCAGCATTCTTGATTGTTTTTGCTCATTTGACCCCTTATGTCCACTTTGTCAAATCACTCAGCTGTTTGAATTCTTATGTAGCTATTTGAAATATAACATTTTGATGTTTGGCTTTATTGGAGGGTTTTTTATGAGGAGGGGCTGTATGTTTTTTGGCTTTGGAGTTTTATGTGGGCCTTTAAATAGTTCTGTCAGCTATTCAGTCAGCAAACCTTTATTGAGCCCTTACTATGTGCTAGGTTGAGGATAAAAAATGAAAAAAGAGGAAGAAAAAATGAAGTAAGACAGGCCCTGCTATCAAATACTTAATAGTTTGGCATAGTAATGTAGAACTGCAGGTTTCCCAGTCTTGACCCCATTTTTAACAGATAATTTGCTTTCTTATTTCATAGAGAAAACAGAAGTGTCAGACTTCCTCAAACTTCTCTCAAATTTCCTCAAATTTCCCATCAAATTTCCTCAAACTTCCCTCTCTTCTAACATCTACATGTTCACCAATACCAATTTACCCCCTTCTCCTAAGAAAAGAAGTGTTTTTCCTTTGCAAGGCCAACCCTGCCACTAGTGCTGTCAACCTCATTTTCTTTGACTTATTTTTGTTCTTCGTTTCAATAGTATTTTCTCCTTTTATCTTAAGTCTCTCCTGGAGAGACCTTTTGTCAGCCTATAATGGTGGCTTAGAAGGTAAAGAGTCTGCAATGTGGGAGACCCAGGTTCAGTCCCTGGGTTGGGAAGATCCTCCAGAGAAGGGAGTGGCTACCCACTCCAGTTTTCTTGTCCAGAGAATTCCATGGACAGAGAAGCCTGGTGGGCTCCCAAAGAGTTGGACATGACTGAGCAACACTTTCATTTTGAACCATGTTAAAATCTGCCTTTCTGCCCACCTCTCCCATTTTGAAAAACCTCTGCTCCTGCTTCAAGCTACTAACCTAATTCTTTCCATTTCCAAAGTTAGAGCAGTTTAATTTTTCTCTTATCTACCGGTCTGGCCATCGTTTACCAAGTCGCTTATCAATACCCGCACCCTGGTTGCCTCCTCCAGTGGCCTTGCAGTCCTTAGCCTCTTCGACCTCTTTCCAGCAGAGTGTGTCTCAGTGCTTTCTTCCCATAAAGTGCAGAACTAAGGCACTTCTGGTTTTCCTGCAGCCTTTCTGGGTTTCAGTCTCCTTCACTGCCGCTTCTTCCTCTGTCCCTGAAATACTGGCATTCCCCATCCTGGCTCCTCTCCTTACTCTTTGACCCCTGAACAAGCTGCATTCCCGCTTTAGCTATTACATACATGTTGCTGACACCTAAATTAAAATCCCTCACTTTTTTCTCAACCTGGCAGCCTGCTTAGTGGACATTTTCATCTGAATGTCCCACAGATAACTCACTCAACATGTAAGAAAGAAAAATAATCCTTTGTGTTCCTCACCTCACTTGACATTATTGCCACTCTTGATCATGTACACTTGAAATTTCAGAATCATCTTTTAATTCTCTCTCATCTGTCAACATTTATTTGATTACTAATCCTGTCATTATTACTAATAGAGTGTATCTCCATTTTTTACCTTCTCTTGGGTTTGGTTTTTTGGCCTCGGGTATGGCTTGGAGGATATTAGTTTCCCGACGAGGGATTGCACCCAGGCCCACAGCAGTGAAAGCTTGGAGTTCTAACCACTGGACCACCGGGGAATTCTCTCCCTCTTTATTTCCACTGTCCTAGTACTCACCCTGGCTACTGCTTAGGTCTTATAACTGATCTCCCTGCTTCTGGTCTCCCTGAGCCTTAGTCATCCATCATCCACGTTGCCACCAGACCCCTGCCTAAAATCCTTTGGTTTTAGGAAAAGTCTAACTTTTCCAGTCTGGTTCCAGTCCATCTCTAGCTGTGATTCTCGGCTTCGTGTTTCATACCCTTTTCTCCTGCTCAGTCTCTGCCCCTCCCCCGTGGTCTGGCCTCAACACACTGTTTATACCTGTATTCTTGCTGCCTTTGTTCTTGCTGTTCCTTGGCTACAATAATCACTCTCCTTTTATTTGTTTTCAGTGTGATTACCTTGAGACAATTTACATATTCCTTTCTCTGTGAAACCTTTGGACACCTTTCTTCCCTTGTCTTCTCTGCCCTGAACACAGTTTTGGCTTATTTGATCTTTCTGCTTATATAGCTCCTTGTTCATACCCTCTAGCTAGACACAATTTTCTGGTTGATACTGATATTTTCTCCTGCTTTTCTCGACTGAGTTCCTGGAGGGCAAGAATCACATGGATTTTGTAGGTTCAGCATTTAATGAAATACCTTTTTTAAGACTAGGATCTAATATTTTTTGAGTTGAATGAATAAACTTACTTTAGCCTTGTCATCATTGGGGTCAAAAGTAAATTATTGGGCCACTACAGACTTTTAATCAGGGAATTCTAATGAAGAGCTTTGTGTATGTGTAATCCAGGAAGCCTTCCTTCCTTTGCTGAAGTTCTTTCTCAGGACCTTCCTGATCCCCCCTTTCCTCATCATCTCAATTCTGAACTCTGCCCAGAGTATGTAGAGTTCCCATAAACCTGACTGGAATGTTTCTATATTGAGAGACGATATTTTTGTCTTGAGAGTAGGTATCCAAGGCTATGGGTGAGGAGACTGCCTTCCTGCCTGCTCTTTACCTTGCTCTCCTCTGATACTCCTGATGCCAAGAAGCTCTTTTACATTCAATTCCCCCCTCAGTCCCAGACTTCAGTTTAGTTCACTCAGTCAACTCTTTGCAGCCCCATGAACTGCAGCACGCCAGGCCTCCCTGTCCATCACCAACTCCCAGAGCCTACCCAAACCCATGCCCATTGAGTCAGTGATGCCATCCAACCGTCTCATCCTCTGTCGTCCCCTTCTCCTCCTGCCCTCAATCTTTCCCAGCATCAGGGTCTTTTCCAATGAGTCAGCTCTTCACATCAGGTGGCCAAAGTATTGGAGTTTCAGCTTCAACATCAGTCCTTCCAATGAACACCCAGGACTGATCTCCTTTAGGATGGTCTGGTTGGATCTCCTTGCAGTCCAAGGGACTCTCAAGAGTCTTCTCCAAACCACAGTTCAAAAGCATCAATTCTTCTGCGCTCAGCTTTCTTTATAGTCCAACTCTCACATCCATACATGACTACTGGAAAAACCATAGCCTTGGCTAGACAGACCTTTGTTGGCAAAGTAATGTCTGCTTTTTAATATGCTATCTAGGTTGGTCATAACTTTCCTTCCAAGGGTAAACATCTTTTAATTTCATGGCTGCAATCACCATCTGCAGTGATTTGTAACCTAGAAAAATAAAGTCAGCCACTGTTTCCCCATGTGTTTGCCATGAAGTGATGGGACCAGATGCCATGATCTTAGTTTTCTGAATGTTGAGCTTTCAAGTCAACTTTTTCACTCTCCTCTTTCACTTTGATCAAGAGGCTTTTTAAAAAAGTTCTTCACTTTCTGTCATAAGGGTGGTGTCATCTGCATATCTGAGGTTATTGACATTTCTCAGTCCCAGACTTAGATCTGGCAAAGGAAGATAGTTGTAACTGAGTGCAACATTCTACCTGCCTGGACTCCTAGAAGAGCCCAAGGAGAGATGGGCAGCTATCCATCAGCCTCAAAGCCTTGGTCATGCCTCTAGCTGCTGCTTCACACTACTGGGGCTTTGACACCGTCATGCAAGCTCCTTGGAAGACAGACTCCAGAATCAGAGTACTCAGGCCCTCTTCCTGCATCCAATCCAGATCATCCCTAGAAAGGGTTTCCAGGTAGCCACCAGTGGAACAGAAAGCTAGGAAAACAGGGAACCAGTCTCCTCTGGCTCTTAATTCCCATAAGAGCCAGTTCTACAGTTTCTTATTCTGGGCAGTAATCTGATGGAGCTGGACTCCTGTCTCTTGATTGCAGCACGAACTATACACCTCTCTCCTTCCATCTCCACACTGATGTTCCCTCTACACACTCTGTGCCCTCCCTTCACAGTCTGCAGTTCCTGCAGATTCATAGATTCTGGAGATGTACTGTGGATATGAGTCATTCCAGGAGGCCCTTTCTGACCCCTCACTGTGTCCTGAGTTTCTCCTATGTTTGCTGACCTCTGGTGGTGATCGTTTGAACTGTACTATCTTTTATAGTGGTTGTCTGACAGGTATTGGTACACATTTTCTCAGTCCATATTCAAATACTGTGTTAAAATATTTTTTATTGATGAATTTTGTATTTCCTTTCAGGCATCATGGCCATAAGTGCAAAAAACAAAAACAAAACAGGCCCTGGGCTTTAGAATCAAGACCAGGTCCAGTCTTAACTGTGCTATTTCCTGACAGAGTAACCTTGGTCAAGTTACCTAAATTAAGCTTTCTTACCTATAAAGTGAAGATAATAATAACTCAATGGGAGAATTAGATGTGATGATTGTAAAATTCATAGCCCTAGCCGTGCCCTAGTACACAGGCGCTCAATAAAGTTTGTTACCTTTTCTATAATGGTGATCAATGTGATTTTTAAAAAAATTTGATAACATCAAATTTACCTTCATACACCTATTTTCAATGTGATTAAAAAAAAAACCACTCTAATTTTATACAGCTGCTTTCCTGACCCTTGAGTTTAGAAAATGAGGTCAACTCAAACTCTAGGCTATGAAGCCTTTCTGTGCCCAGGGAACTGCAGATCTGAGCCCAGAAAATAAGAGCTAGAAGGGCTTTGGGGAACAGATGAATGGTTCTGAGCACTTAACCTCACTTGGGTTTCCACCTGGGAAGAGCTGACAGCAGTCGGCACTTTTTCCTAGGGTCAGCAAAGGGCAGAGGTTTGGCATCACTGTTCTCAGTGGGAACTCTAAGGCCCCCTCCTCCCACTTTACAGAGGAAAGAGGAGGTGGCTGAACAGAGGAAGATATGAGCCTGGTTCTCTGCTCCTCCCTGTCTCTCCCTGCTTTTCCCCACACCCATCCTCTCCCCCACAGCAGCCGTCTCCCCCACAGAGACGGGGAAGAGGGAGGGGGGTGGAGTTGGGGGCTGAAGGATCAGAAGCCCCACGGTGCCCTGTGTCTGAAGGAAGCTCTGGCCAGGGACAGCTGTGCTGGCTCCTGCTGCCCCCTCCAGCATGATGCTGGGGATCCTGGGGCTCTGGGCACTGCTTCCCACAGCTGTGCAAGGTAAGTGTCTACAGGGAGAAGCAGGGTCTTTCCAGCCACCCATCACAGGAGGGAGCACTTGAAGAGTGATGAGTGGAGTGGGTGAGTGAGGGTGACGGGTACGGCCAGGTGTTCCCTTGGTGGGGGTCACATTCCAGGCCTCTGCTGACCCTGTTTCCTCCTGTGGCTTTACCAGGCTAGCTCTACAATACAAAACATGTTTTGTCTCTCTCCCGGCTTCTGCCTCTGCCCCTGCATTCACTCCCATCTTGACCCTTCCCCTCCCCTTACCCTGGCCTGCAGCACCCCCCAGCAGGCGGACCTGTGTGTTCTTCGAGGCCCCCGGAGTGCGGGGAAGCACACAGAACCTGGGGAAGCTGCTGGATGCAGGGCCGGGCCCCCCCAGGGTTATCCACTGCCTCTACAGCCGCTGTTGCTTTGGAATCTGGAACCTGACCCAAGACCAGGCCCAGGTGGAGATGCAAGGTGAAGGGCTCAGCATCTGCCAGGCATACCAGGGTCGGGGAGAGGCTCATCCTGGGCGGGGGTGGCCGCGAGGAGGGCAGGAGAAATGGAAAGTGTGGAGGGAAAGAAAAGGCTATGAGAGATGGAAGGGATGCCCTCTGTGTTCCCAGACCTGTACACACTCTGTCCCTACCTTTCTCTCCTTCTCCCAACCCCTCTGCGTCAGGATGCCGAGACAGCGATGAGCCAGGCTGTGAGTCCCCCCGCTGTGATCCAAGTCCCCGAGCCCAGCCTCGCCCCAGCTCTACTCTCTTCACCTGCTCCTGTGGCGCTGATTTCTGCAATGCCAATTACAGCCATCTGCCTCCTCTGGGGAGCCCTGGGACACCTGGTTCCAAGGGCCCCCAGGCCTTCCCAGGTAGCCACCCAAGGCGCTGGAGCCAGGTGGGGGCTGGGGCCCAGGTTAGATGAGAGGTTAGAACCAGGGCCAATTCTTACCCTAACACTGTCCTAAGCTTCCCTCCTCCTGGCCTTGAGAAGTTGGTTGCCCTGGTGACTGGGAGATAAGGGGGCTTGTGATCAGGGTGGGGGTGGGTAGAGAAGCAATTCTCTGAGGAGAGGGAGAGAAGCAGAGAGCAAGGTTTGGGGCAGGGCTCACCCGGCCTTCTTTCTTGCTCTAACCTCCAGGGGAGTCCGTCTGGATAGCGCTGCTGCTGCTGGGACTCCTGCTGCTGCTGCTGCTGCTGAGCAGTAGCATCTTGGGTACTACTCTGGCCCACCACCCCCTTGTGAACCCCCCTCAAGGCACTGCCCCAGTGCTCTGACCCCTCTCCAGGCTCCCCTGACCCCCATCACTTCCCAGTCCCATGCCTGGGTACCTAACCCTAAGGCTGTTCTCTGCCCCAGCCCTGCTGCAGCGGAAGGCCTGCCGAGTGCAAGGTGGGCCAGAGCCAGAGCCAGAGCCAGAGCCAGGCAGGGACTGGAGCGCTGAGCTGCCAGAGCTGCCTGAGCTACGCTTCTCCCAGGTGCCCAGGGATGGCGGGGAGGGGGCCTCTGGGCACTCCCAGAGAGTGTGCTGGGGAGAAAGCTCGGCCCTGCGAACTCGGCAAGGTCCAAACCCAGCAGCGTGTCCCCACCAGGTCATACGGGAAGGAGGTCACGCAGTGGTGTGGGCTGGGCAGCTGCAAGGCAAGCTGGTAGCTGTCAAGGCCTTCCCCCTGAGGGCTGTGGCTCAGTTCCAAGCCGAGAGAGCATTGTACGAGCTGCCAGGCCTACAGCATGACCACATTGTCCGCTTTATCACCGCCAGCAGGGGCAGCCCTGGCCCCCCACCCTGCGGGCCCCTGCTGGTACTAGAACTGCACCCCAAGGTGAGGACTGAGTGTATGTGTGTGGGAAGGCGGGGCGGGGAGCGGTGGCAGCTAGGTCCTGTTCAGACTTGTTCCTCTGCTATAGGTTGCCTTTTCTCTAGAACATTACATATGCTTTTGTATTGTTTTTTCTTTTTATTATTATAAGCGGTACTTGCTAACACTTTTTACTTACAATATATAGACAAGGAAAGGGAGAAATCAAAATAATTCATATTCCCGACCTTAAGGAAAACCAATGTTAAAGACAGATCTTTGGGCATAGACTTCCAAACTCATTCATCTATTCATTCAACTAATGTTGATGAACAATATGTTGCTGGGAAAAACACACCCAGCCCCTGCCTTTTCCAGATTTTACAGAGTAGAAGGGGAGACAGAAGGGGATCAAGCAAACACAAAAAGAAATGTAAAATGTCAAGTGAATTAAGTGCTGAAAGCAAAGGACCTATAAGAAAAGACTAAGGGAAAAAAAAAGACTAAGGAGGCGTAACTCAAAGGGAGAATCATGAGCAAAAAGGATGAAGAGACATAGATAGGCAGGGGCCATACCGCACCAGCCTTGTAGGCCTCTAAGGACTTGGGATATCATCACCTACAGTTCCTCTACCTCTGAAGTCTTGAGTTCTGGGAAGTCTCTTCTTTGACCATATACCTCATAGCCCAGCTCAAAAATCACTTTTTTTGGTTTTAACTTTGCGGGCACACTGGAAGCCCTCAATAATGTCTGCAGAATGAGGGACTCCATTGCTCCTTTCCTCCCAGCTGCTCCACACCGGCTGCTCTCCTACCCAATGGCCCTCCCCATCCACGCCCTGCTACGGGGTGACACCCCAAGCCAGGTGGTTCATGCGGGTACCCCTACTTAGCCTGCTCGGCCTCTTCTGTTTCTGTCTTTATCCCAAGTCCTGTGAGGCAGTATAAGGTGGTTAAAGGTGAGTGATGCTGGCAGTCAGACTGCTGGGGGGTCAGGTTGTAATACTCTCTCGCCCAGGGATTTCCAGCAAGCTCCTCATCCATAAAACAGCAATGATAGGAGTACCCACCTCCCAGGGTTGTAGTGAGGGTTACTACGTGCCAGGAGGCCTGGCACGTGCCAAGTGCTCAGGACACTTAAACTAGAGCTACTATTTTTCCTGTCAATCTGAGTGATGTACACCCTCACTCCTGCATTGCCTGCTGCCTTGCTCTGGGCGTGTTGTGTGTTAACTCTGCTGGGAGATGCGGGGGGAAGTCTGACAATTGACCCCTGCTGCCTGGGGTGAATCAGCGTCCTCCAGCTTTGTGTGTCCCCCTCTTCTCTCTGCTTCTCCCCAGGGCTCCCTGTGCCACTACTTGACCCAGCACACCAGTGACTGGTGCAGTTCCCTGCGGATGGCACTGTCCCTGGCGCAGGGCCTGGCGTTTCTCCATGAGGAACGTTGGCAGGATGGTGGGTGAGCTGGGGGCCACAAGTCATGGGAGTCAGGAGCCATGCTGCTGTTTCTGATTTTCCCTTAGCTTGGAGGGGAAGGATTGGGTCAAAAAGACAAAGGAAGAAGACCTGTGCCCCTTCAGCCTGGCTTCTCCCACAGGCCAGTATAAACCAGGTATCGCCCACCGAGATCTGAGCAGCCAGAACGTACTCATTCGGGATGATGGGTCATGCGCCATTGGAGATCTGGGCCTCGCCTTGGTGCTCCCTGGCCTCGCCCAGCCCCCAACCTGGGCCCCTACTCAACCCCGAGGCCCGGCTGCCATCATGGAGGTCAGTACTCTGGAGACCCGTGAGACCCAGGATGGGGGTGGTGGTGCTGATGACGATGCAGTGACAGTGCAGCAGCACCTGGAGTGTACGGGGTGCTTGCTGAGTCTAGTCAGGGGCGTGCTGCGCAGACCAGTGTTGCAGTGAGGGTTGCCATGGAGATGATCCTTGTCGTCTAGGCTGGCACCCAGCGGTACATGGCACCAGAGCTCTTGGACAAGACTCTGGACCTTCAGGACTGGGGTACAGCCCTGCGGCGAGCTGACGTCTACTCTCTGGCTCTGCTCTTGTGGGAGATCATGAGTCGCTGCCCAGATTTGCGACCTGGTGAGGATGGGTGGGACAGCAGCCCCCTCCCTGCCCCACCTGCCCATTCTAGACTCACCTACCTCCTGACCCAGGAAGCTCTACCCTTCTCCCTCTTGGTCTTTCTACAAGAAGGCACCCCTCGGGCTAGCTGACACCTAGCCTTGTGTGCCTTTGCCCAGACAGCAGACCACCACCCTTCCAACTGGCCTACGAGGCAGAACTGGGCAGCGCCCCCACCACCTGTGAGCTGTGGGCCTTGGCAGTAGAGGAGAGGAGGCGCCCTCACGTCCCACCCACCTGGTGCTGCTTAACCACAGTAAGAGGGCGCAGGCTGGTGGGCAGGGGACCTGCAGAGTCTTGACACGGGCTTCAGGGACCTATTCACCAGGACAGCCCACCTGTCCCTATCCCTTCTCTCCCACCACTCCTGGCTTATGTTCAGCTGGAGCTGGGCAAACTTGCTCTGTGCTCCAGTTCATCCCTTTCCACTGTAAGCCTCATATAGCCCGTTCCTGAGACACACACCTTCCTCTTGCTCAGTTTTGCCTTGTCCATCCCTCCTCTCTCCACCATCAGTTTGCCCTGTTCCTCAGTTCCTTCCTCCAGGAAGCCCTCCTTGGCTTTGCTTCTGGTCTGAGCTCTGCCCCCAAGATGGTTGCTTTCCTGGTACACTGGAGCCTAATATTTGTTTTTTAACATTTTTTTAAAAAGTATTTATTCATTTGTTATTTTTGTGTATGCTGGTCTTCACTGGGGCACTTGGGCTTTCTCTAGTTGCAGCGCACAGGCTGCTCATTGCGGTGGCTTCTCTTGTTGAGGAACACAGGCTCTAGGTCAGCGGACTTCCCTAGTTGTGATGCAAGGGCTTATTTGCTCCATGCCATGTGGAATCTTCCCGGACCAGGGATCAAACCTGTGTCCCTTGCATAAATTGGCAAGTGGATTCTTAACCACTGTACCACCAGGGAAGAATAAATTAAAAAACATTTATTTATTTGGCTGCATCTTAGTTGTGGCACATGGGATCTCTGTTGCGTCATGTGAGATCTTTCACTGGGGCACACAGACTCTCTAGTTGTGTTCCTTGGGCTCCGGAGCACACAGACTTAGAAGATGTGGCTTCTGGGCTGTTTCTCCAAGGCATGTAGGATCTTAATTCCCCCACCAGGAATCAAACCTGTGTCCCTTGAATAGCAAGGCAGATTCTGAACCACTGGACCACCAGGGAAGTCCCCTGGAGCCCAATATTTAATCCAATAATTTCTCATTCTGTCTTACACCTCTGTGTTTCTGTCACAACCGAATTAAAGCCAGAACTAAGGATAAGGGTTAAAGCAGTGGCTGAATAGTGAAATTTCAGGGTTTCTGCAGAAAACAGTTTCCTTACAGGAGGCCCCTTCCCCTGCTACCTGATCTGATGTTTCCACTGCACAAGTGTCTGATGGGTTTGGTAACAAAGGCCCGGGTATTGTTTGCAGAAGACCCTGGCTGCCTGAGAGAAAGGCAGTTAAACCATTAATTAGCCTGAACTAGCATCTTTCAAAGGCGCCCCACTCCAGTACTCTTGCCTGGAAAATCCCATGGACGGAGGAGCCTGGTAGGCTGCAGTCCATGGGGTCGCGAAGAGTCGGACGTGACTGAGCGACTTCACTTTCACTTTTCACTTTTATGTATTGGAGAAGGAAATGGCAACCCACTCCAGTGTTCTTGCCTGGAGAATCCCAGGGATGGGGTCGCACAGAGTTGGACACGACTGAAGTGACTTAGCAGTAGCAGTAGCAGTAGCATCTCAGAGGAAAAGGTAGACTCTTTGGAGAGAACTTTTCTCATAAGAGAGGAGATGAGGGGATACTCTTTCTGCCCCCTTCTGATGCCTATGTCAGAAGCTTTCTCTATCTCCTTTATACTTTAATAAAACTTTATTACACACACACACAAAGAGAGGAGATGAAAGGCGTGATTTGGGTGAAGGGGAGGAAGGAAGCNCAAAGTATTGGAGTTTCAGCTTCAGCATCAGTCCTTCCAATGAATATTCAGGACTGATTTCCTTTAGGATTGACTGGTTTGATCTCCTTGCAGTCCAAGGGATTCTCAAGAATCTTCTCCAGCACCACAGTTCAAAAGCATCAATTCTTCTTACTCAGTCTTCTTTATGATCCAACTCTCATATCCATACATGACTACTGGAAAAACCATAGCTTTGATGATATGGACTTTTGTCAGCAAAGTGATGTCTCTGGTTTTTAATATGTTGTCTAGGCTTGTCATAGCTTTCCTTGTAAGGGGCAAGCATCTTTTAATTTCATGGCTGCAGTCACCATCTGCAGTGATTTTGGAGCCCAAGAGAAGAAAATCTATGACTGCTTCCACTTTTTCCCCTTTTATTTGCCATGAAGTGATGGGGCCAGATGTCATAATCTTAATTTTTTGAATGTTGAGTTTTAAGCCAGCTTTTTCATTCTCCTCTTTCACCCCTCATCAAGAGGCTCTTTAGTTCCTCTTCACTTTTCTGCCATTAGAGTGGTATCATCTCCATATTTGAGGTTGTTGATATTTTCCCCAGCAACCTTGATTCCAGCTTGTGATTCATCCAGCCTGGCATTTCACATGATGTACTCTGTATATAGGACTTCCCTGGTGGCCACCTATTTTCCCAATAATTTAGTTTAAACAGCACTCTTTGAATAATCCTTGAACATAAGTTTCATTTTGTCTTGCCTCTGCTCAACAGTCCACTTGCCTTTTTTGTGACAATGCTATGAGCACTATTTACAGAGGAGGAAACCAAGGGCTCAGAGAAGTTTAGAATGTGTCCAAGGTCATACAGATTTTAAATAACAAAGAAAGGATTTTCAGCCATTAAAAGTGAAGTTTATGCTGGAAATAGAACTGCCATATGACCCAGCAATCCCACTGCTGGGCATACACACCGAGGAAACCAGAACTGAAAGAGACACGTGTACCCCAATGTTCATTGCAGCACTGTTTACAATAGCCAGGACATGGAAGCAACCTAGATGTCCATGGGCAGATGAATGGATAAGAAAGCTGTGGTACATATACACAATGGAATATTACTCAGCTATTAAAAAAGAATGCATTTGAATCAGTTCTAATGAAGTGGATAAAAATGGAGCCTATTATACAGAGTGAAAAGTAAATCAGAAAGAAAAACACCAATACAGTATATTAACACATATATATGGAATTTAGAAAGATGGTAACCATGACCCTATATGTGAGACAGTGAAAGAGACACAGATGTAAGGAATAGACTTTTGGACTCTGTGGGAGAAGGCAAGGGTGGGATGATTTGAGAGAATAGCATTGAAATGTGTATATTATCAATATGTGAAACAGATCGCCAGGCCAGGTTCAGTGCCTGAGAGAGGGTGCTCAGGGCTGGTGCACTGGGATGACCCTGAGGGATGGGATGGGGAGGGAGGTGGGAGGGAGGTTCAGGATGGGGAACACATGTACACCCGTGGCTGATTCATGTGACTGTATGGCAAAAACCACCACAATGTTGTAAAGTAATTAGCCTCCAATTAAAATAATAAAAAAGTGAAGTTTATGGAAATACCACAAATAATTAGAAATAGATGATATTATATGAACATATGTTGACAAGCCTAGGGTTATGTTAAAAAAGATAAACGTATGATCTCAAGAAAAGCAAACAAATACCAATTTGTTTCAAAATATCCAATCAATACACACCAAGGAAACCAGATCTGAAAGAGACACGTGTACGGCAATGTTCATTGCAGCACTGTTTATAATAGCCAGGACATGCAAGCAACCTAGATGCCCATCAGCAGATGAATAGATAAGGAAGCTGTGGTACATATACACTATGGAATATTACTCAGCCATTAAAAAGAATTCATTTGAATCAGTTCTAATGAGATGGATGAAACTGGAGCCCATTATACAGAGTGAAGTAAGTCAGAAAGATAAAGACCAATATAGTATACTAACGCATATATATGGAATTTAAAAAGATGGTAATGATAACCCTATATGCAAAACAGAAAAAGAGACACAGATGTACAGAACAGACTTTTGGACTCCGTGGGAGAAGGCGAGGGGAGGATGTTCAGAGAGAACAGCATTGAAACAAGTATACTATCAAGGGTGAAACAGATCACCAGCCCAGGTTGGATGCATGAGACAAGTGCTCAGGGCTGGTGCACTGGGAAGACCCAGAGGGATGGGGTAGAGAGGGAGGTGGGAAGGGGGATCGGAATGGGGAACACATGTAGATCCATGGCTGATTCATGTCAATGTATGGCAAAAACCAGTAAAATATTGTAATTAGCCTCCAATGAATAAAAATAAATGGAAAAAATAATATCCAACCAAAACTGTCAAGATTATAAAAACAAAGTCTGAGAAACTAGCACAACCAAGAGGAGCCTAAGGAGACACACGACCTCTTGGATAAAATCCTGGAATAGAAAAAAGGACATTGGGTAAAAACCGAGGAAATATGAATAAAGTATGGAGCTAATAATCATGAATCAATATTGGCTTATTTGGGTAACAAATGTACCATACTAATGTAAGAGTTATCAATAGGGGAACAGGGTATGGTGAATATGAAAACTCTGTATTACCTTCTCAATTTTTCTGTAACTCTAAAGCTGTTCTGAAAAAATAAAGCTTATTAAAAAAAACAAAAACTGTGACTTGCTTCAAAACTGTGGAGAGGTCATAAACAAAAAGAAAAACAAGGAGAAAAAAAAAAACAAGGGGAGGGTTGTCGTAAGCATTATAATGTTTACTGACAACATTCTTGAGTGGATGTGCTGTAATATGTTGTATTGGAGGGATCACTAACAGAAAATTCAGAAAATCTAGGTTATAATCTTGGCTCTTCTAACTCTGAACTCTTAAAAGAGTTTATTTAATTTTATCAGGAAGTTTGAATGAATGATTCTCTTAAGTAATTTCTAACCCTATGATTCCACAATTCAATGATAAAATATTAAAGTCCCAGTTTTATTTTATTTATTTTTATTTTTTATTTTTTAAAGTCCCAGTTTTAAAGACTACTTCACCAAATGCAGTATATAATAGTATGGCATTGCCATGATTAGTGATTTCATACTCATGGAGATGCAGTATACATATAAATAAACTTCTTATAAACTTGGAAACATAAATCTATGAATAGAATGGCTCATGGGAGGGAAACTGTGTAGCTGAAGACAGGGGTTGTGAACAATAAAAAAAAGACTGATTTTTTACTATCTTTTTTTAACCTCTTGAATTTTGATTTTTTTGCATATTTTGTATATTAAAATTACATGTTTACTTACTAATTTAAAATGTCTGTGCCTAGTGAAAAAAAAAAAA